ATAGAATCATATGAAATTTTGCATAATTTTGAGTGTATGTTTTGTATACTGACGAATAGGGAATGTTGGGTGTGCCAATGCACAATGACTAACTGATTGGGTCAATATTTAATTTGGATGGATGTTTGATGTACATGTTTTATCTATGAATGGTTTGGGTGAGTATATAGTAGGCGTGTACATGCATATGGACCTCTCACTCGGACATAAGATGAGATTATGTGAACGGTTACTGACGAGAGAGATGACAGTGTGAATATATTGTGTGTATGTATGCCATAGTCGAGAATTGTCTGCGTGCGTGTGTGTACATTGCTGTGTGTCCTGTTCTCTTACAATTACGTTTGCATATATTGGTGCGTTTGTGCATAATTCAATTTTCGAATATGGGGTTTATGAACTGCGAGAGGTCACATGATGAGCAGTACAATGCTGGAAATCACGTTTGTACGTGCGTCATCGGTTGTTGCAGAATGACTGTGTGGGGAATTCGATAAGCGCACAGAGTGTGCGGCTGTGGCATTACGTATTCCGAGCGTTTTGTTTTTGTCCACGAGTCAATCAAATTTGTGAGAATGGTAAATCGTTAATTGGAATGAACCATTCCCTTTGAAAGTTGATTATTAACTGCATTGACGGAGTGTCCATATGACTGTCTTACGTTATGGTGTGTACATATAGGTTTAGAGCAGTAAAGGGATCTGCGTGACATTCTTTTTGCAAACCTGTGTGCTTCATTAATAGAGCCAGATGTGCATGTTCCTAAAATATATACCAGTATCAAGTGTGCGCGTCTGTATCAGGCTCACGAGTACCATTATACAGTGGTCTATACTTCCTATACCTCCAAGCGTACAAGGGTGAAATTCAGCTAAATCTCCCCCAAATGGTCGTTGCACAGACCCTCGATTGAACTTAACCCTGACTTCTTCATTTACAGCGTTAAGACAGCCGACAAACGGTTATCCAAAGCGTTGAACCAACAACTAGATGTGGACGAGGTCAGTGATTTACGCGTTCCATCGTATGCTTCGTTCGAACTATCACACTCTGCATGATTAAAAAATATGTGTAGTGATAGACTCCGCTGCATCTGCCTTCATAGTTGGGGTGTCCAAAATTGATGTAATGGTATGACATTTTTTCAGGTAGTACAATTCTGTGGGTAAGAAGTTGCTTGCGCCTGATACTCTGAAGATATTGGGCACAGACGGATATTCACAACTGAAGTTCTTTACTGCCATGAACATTCTAGTGGTCGGTACGCAGAAAAGGTGGTGCATAAATTGATACTTCTAACTCAAGTTCAGCATAAATTACTCGGACACAGGACGGCAGGTCGATAGCAAGCCCTTGAATGCTGCTCTGAAGATGATATAGTGCACTAACTGATACTTTTTAACTAAAGTTCTGTACATTTTTCTCTTACACAGGACGACAGGGGACCCTTGTACTACACTCTGAAGGCACTACTGGACATTATGGGTCCCACCGAGTACTGTGAGTACATGGCTGAGCTCAAGAGCGTGACAATGCGTGAAGGCAGCGACCTGCACAAAGACGCCCAACGCCAGGTCAACCCACACGCCCAAACAAACCTTTGGCGGAGGATCAACTCGCGTATGCGAACGCAGGCCCGCACACACAGAGACAAATCGTGCGATGCCACGCACCGGAATAACACATCGGAGGGGTGTGATGCGGAGGGTAGTGAGAAAGATCGTGAGAGATGCAGTTTAGGAAAGGGGTTAGAAGTGGTAGGGGAATCGGGGAGTGACAGTAACAATAACAGGCCAGTGAGCGAGAGTGTGTACCAGAGCCAGTTGCTGCATACACCGTCTACGAAGGTGTTGCCCCTGTCGCTTTTGAGTAAGGAACGGGGTTCACCGCGTACGTGTGGACACTCGTCGAGTGTTGAAAATATAGATAACGGGGACTCTCTCCCAAACAGCCCTGACTTCGGGCCGAATAGTACATATGCTGATGTACCAGTACCAGAGAGGAGGGGTACGGGAGTGTCTAAGACGCACAGGGTCACGGGAAAGTCTACGAACACTAGCACGTACACGACTACGGAAATAGGTCAATGCACACAAAGGCAGCCACAAGCCCAGACAAGGGATGAGTTTTGCTTTGAAGAGGACACTATTGAGGCACACACGGAAACTACTACGCCCATTCGAACAAGGAAGGACGCCGGGCAGCGACAGGCGATGGAGGATTGCATACGCAAACCACACGCACACGAATTGGTCACAGATGAACACACACACACACAAGCACATATGCAGAGATCAAAATATGTCAACACAGACACACACAGAACGGGAAATGGAACGAAAAATACAGATAGTGCTGGAACTGAGGCGACAGAGTCGACCCAGTGCCACACGAAGGACACTCAATGCACGCCTGACAGCAAGAGTACGCTGAGACATAAAACGAGGAGAACCTTGAACGAACGTATCACGAAGCCCTGTCAAACGCAAGGAGCTTTCGCAAAACGGGCCTCCCCATCGTCAGAGAATGAAGGTGTGGAAGTAGACTGTGTGTCTTGTTTGGGACAGCAATTTGAGCGCAGACGCTCACAGTGTTATTCGGCTGGGAATGATACCTAATTTAGGAGCTGTGGATACTGCCCTTGTCTTGAGAGTTCACCTAGTTCGTATATGTTTAAGTTCGTTTGGGATAGTTGTGCCTCTATATTGCATGATTTGAGATATTTGATCGATGGAATGTATATAGTGTGTGACACCAAATGCACTATTAATAGTTGCCTGACTTATATGTTGTGTGTTATCTGTTTTAATTCATGCGGCGTGCACCACCTCCCAGCAAGAGTAGTTGTATTCATTGCGTACGCTATAAATTCATCAAGTTGTGTCTGGGAGTGCGTGCCTCCCTGCGTAACAGAGAAACACATCTGATCTGTTGTGACACCAGCATACATAACGATTGCATGGGCTTACTATGATAGTACAAGCAGCAGAGCTTACAATATCCGAACCTCATCTCACAGAACCTTCCGATAAACACGGCACCAGAGGATACTTAGCGCTCATAGTAAACAAAGCCGCCAGAGACCAAACCGCTATACTCGTCGTTCGCCCGAACAAAAACGAGGCAGAGCTCAGAGCGGGTAAATGGGTGCGGCTAAGTGTAGTCATGCCTGTATGGACAGATACGACTCTATCTTTGCATGGTGATGGCAGTCTTAGACTCGTGTCTGTGATTGGAGAGTATGTGTTTGGTATGCCGTCAGTGCGATCTCTATGGTCGACGCATTCCGCACTGGTGAAAGCGGTCAGAAACGCTGAAAGGTGTGTCGCAAGAATTCGATTACTTTTATAACATATTAAT